ACCAACCTCTGTCCTACACATCAGAGGACTTGCAGGAAAATGATGATTTGTTGGGGTGACATGATCCCCCCATCCAGTCCACAGAAATTGCTGGGACCCCTTCTCTCATAATAAGAAGACATTATTACCTGCTTCTCCCTGGGCACACTCTCTCCAGCCTCATAGGTAACCACTTTCCTGTACTGGAACTCCACCTCTTCCATATCTGGGCTACAAAAAAATGGTCGCCAGCCCTTCAACCCCCGAGCTCAGACCTCTGTAACGAAATATAAAACAATACCTGACGTCTAATATAGGAATTGATAATACCAAACATTATTTCTTATATATTTCGGAAATATCTGTAGAATTTGTAGAACACTATGGTCGCCGCTTTTCTAATTAGGGACAGTTTGGCTGGAAGGGTTTGCCCTCTAGCGGTTTCGCAGAGCACAGCTGCCAGGTGGGCGGGATTTACGTGTTGGGCGGGGCCAAGTAGATAGGTTGGTGTGCGGGCTATGACAGGTAATGTAACGGGTGCGCCTCAGTCTTGTAGCCGCAGCTTGGTTGCTATGGTGATGTGTTTTTGTCAAATGGCGGCCATTTTCTTGTAGCTCAAGTCTTGAACTCCGAGGTTTTTCAATTTCCAACTGCTGGTGGGGCTGTGAGGCTGGAAAATGTGAGTCTAGTGAGGGGGGAATAATGTGTTCTTGTTATGAAATGAGGAAGTGAGAAGGGGGGCTCTAATATGTGAGTGCATTGTGCCACAAACCCCCTGAGGATGGCGCTATACTAGGGTTGCCACCTGTCTGGGATTCACCAGGACAGTCTGGTTTTTGAGTCTTGTCTCCAGGTTTCAAGCCAGCGGACAGCCGGACACAAGACACTAAGTGCCAATACCGGCACTTTACATTTTTTGACAGATGCGGCTGCCTGAGGTCCCCAGCAAGTGTGGGACCTCAGGCAGCTACATCTTCCAATGTAAACAGGCACCAGCCTGCACATCTCCTCCAAGCTTCTTCCTGGCAGAACGCTGCCCACCTCCGGACCCCAGGTGAGACCCCTGCACTTCTGAAAGCCTGCATAGCCCACTTGAGACCCCACACAGCCACCTGAGAGCCTGCATAGCCAACCTGAGACCCCACACAGCCATCTGAGAGCCCACATATCCCACCTGAGAGCCCACATATCCCACACAGCCACCTGAGACCCCACACAGCCATCTGAGAGCACACATATCCCACCTGAGCCCCCACACAGCCACCTGAGACTCCACACAGCCACCTGAGAGCCCACATAGCCCACCTGAAAGCCCGCATATCCCACCTGAGACCCCACACAGCCACCTGGGAGCCCACATATGCCACCTGAGAGCCCACACAGCCACCTCAGAGCCCACATATCCCTATACAAAAACACAGAAAATCCCCAGCTCACCTGCCAGCTAGCCTGCAACCAAACAAGTAGCCCTGTCAACAGTATATGTGAGCATATTAATGCAGTTGATAAATTGCATGCAGGTGTACCAGGAAGTAGCCAACTCCTCCTAATAAGGTGCAGGGACGCACTGGAGGCCCAGCAACCAAAAATAGTCTAACTAGAAAAAACATGGTACTTGCATGAATCTATAACTAGCCTTTACGGCAGGGTGCACACTGAGACCCCACACAGCCATCTGAGAGCCCACATATCCCACCTGAGACCCCACACAGCCACCTGAGAGCCCACATAGCCACCTGAGACCCCACACAGCCACCTCAGAGCCCACATAGACCACCTCAGCCCCCACACAAAAAAGAGCCCACATATCCCACCTGAGACCCCACACAGCCATCTGAGAGCCCACACATCCACCTCGGAACCCACATATCCCACCTGAGACCCCACACCGCCATCTGAGAGCCCACATATCCCACCTGAGACCCCACACAGCCACCTGGGAGCCCACATATGCCACCTGAGAGCCCACACAGCCACCTCAGAGCCCACATATCCCTATACAAAAACACAGAAAATCCCCAGCTCACCTGCCAGCTAGCCTGCAACCAAACAAGTAGCCCTGTCAACAGTATGCGTTAAAATCAGAGGTTTTAGTTGCACAAACTTTTGGCCAAAAATATGTAGAAGCCGCACCGCCGCGCCAAGGCACCTCTGCAAGGTGTGGTCCTAACTCTATGTATCCGAGTCTCCAAGTGTGAGCATATTAATGCAGTTGATAAATTGCATGCAGGTGTACCAGGAAGTAGCCAACTCCTCCTAATAAGGTGCAGGGACGCACTGGAGGCCCAGCAACCAAAAATAGTCTAACTAGAAAAAACATGGTACTTGCATGAATCTATAACTAGCCTTTACGGCAGGGTGCACACTGAGACCCCACACAGCCATCTGAGAGCCCACATATCCCACCTGAGACCCCACACAGCCACCTGAGAGCCCACATAGACCACCTGAGACACCACACAGCCACCTGAGACACCACATAGCCCAACTGAGACACCACATAGCTCACCTGAGACACCACACAGCCACCTGAGAGCCTGCATATCCCACCTGAGAGCCCACACAGCCATCTGAGAGCCCGCATATCCCACCTGAAACCCCACATAGCCCACCTGAGACTCCACATAGCCCACCTGAGACTCCACACAGCCATTCCTTAGCAAATTGCATTTTCCTTATCTTTGTGTGAAACATATGACCTTGAAGCTTTTCAGCTAGTTTCCTTCCTTGTAGCTGTTCTATGGTCCATTAATTTTACAATTCGTATAAGTGTATGTCTTTTATTGGCTTATGCTCCGCCATCGCCCCTTTCGTTGTCCATATAATCTTTTGTTTTAACAATAAACCTTTAAATATAGAGTGAATGCACTGTTTTGTGTGGTTCTGTATTCCCAAGTAATTGTCTGAAGCTGGCAGCATGATCGGATCCCGGGAAACCTAAATCGAGTTAAGTTCTACCAAGAGGCCTGGGTTCGAGACCCACTACTGGGGGGTTTGAGGCCCTTCAGTGTAACTTTCCTGTGGGCCTGAGGCCCTGCTGTGTAAATTTCCTGAGGGACCCTAACACAGGGTGATAAGGAGGTGGGATTTGTTGATGTCCAAGGTTGACCCGGGTGATAAGGGGAGTATTGGTGATCAAGCAGGTTGACCCGGGTGATAAGTGGGGGTATTGGTGATCAAGCAGTTTGACCTGGGTGATAAGGGGGGTATTGGTGATGTCCAAGGTTGAACCGGGTGATAAGGGGGTATTGGTGATGTCCAAGGTTGAACCGGGTGATAAGGGGGGTATTGGTGATGTCCAAGGTTGACCC